AACTCAGATTTTTCTTTCTCTAGTAACTAATAATATGGAAATATATTCTGTATACATAGTATAAATAAATATTACGTTTTTGCTTGTAAAAAACTAAATTAATAAAATTATTTATTATTTTACAGAATAATGATAATTCTAATATTAACATGCAAGAATATTCACTTCTTTATGCATATGTTAGTCAATATCTAAATGGTACAGATAAATTACGAGTTAATTCATTTCAATTATATACTCTCAATGGTTCTCAAACAGGTATTATTATAACAAATACATGTCTTCAACAGAATATGTGGATATCACGTATAAATATGGTTATACGTAATTTAACAACACGTATATTAGCTGAACTTAATCAAACATTATTATCAAGTGAACAAATATTTTATACAACTTGGCTTAATGAACGAATTATTAATCTTAATGATAATCTTTTACCACAATGGAAATCAATCTTTATTGTTTTTAAAGGTAATGATCTTTATATATTTGATGATAATAAATCACCACCATTATGTACATATGATTTTATTTGTTGTACACGTGTATATCCTATTACTGAAATATTTCTTGAAATTGTATCATCAAAAGATCATATTGATAATCGTCGATATTGTTTTACATTAACATTACCAAATGATATACAAATTGATTGTCGATATTTAAATTTTGAAAGAAAAACTGAATATGATGATTTTATATTAAATTATCAACGATCACTCTATATATCTGTTTATTCACTTCAAAATCGTACGTTTGGTTGTACATTTAACGGACAAATATGTCGATTAATAATTGATATAAATAAAGGTTTTGAAATGTATAATAATGAAACAAATATTATGTTATGGACATTTACATTTGAACAACTTCAATCAAGTTCAGATAATGGAAGAGATCAAATATATTTTCAATTTAAACGTTATTTATCTTCAAATGAAACAAATACAATTATTCATATTGATGTACAATGTCAACATTTAAAAATATTAATTCATGTTATTAATGCATTTTTAACTGTGAAATATATTGGCCAAAAAGATGATAATAATATAACTGATTAAATAATATTCGAAATTTTTTCATTATTATAGACATACATATGATATGAAATCAACAAATTTATTATTTTTAAATTTTATTTGTACAACTTAGAGTTATAATATATATATATATATTAAATTAGAAAGTTTCTTGGAATTAATGTTTTTCGAGATAAATTTCTTCGACCAAATGATTTACGTATACCAGTAAAAATCTATATATGAATTATAAATAAATTTTTCTTGATTATTTTTCAAAAAATTAAAGTCTTACTGAATTGAGTATATAAGTAATGACAGTTGCTAATATATAATTACTAGCAAGAGCATCAATAAAGAGAAATGTAACTATATTCCATATAAATAAAGAACTTTCTTCACCATAGAATAATGTTTTTGTAAAAGTTTTTTCGTTATCTAGAAGAAAAATAAAACAATAATGAGTTTATTTTTGTTTTTGGAAAAAGATTTTCTTACCAGGATATAAAATATTATCAGTAATACCATCTAACTCTGTGCTTGCTCGAGCTTGAAATTCATAATTAAAAATTTTTTCAAGAAAATATCGATTACGAATAAAATATTTGTATGAAGCCAATGAATGATCAATGAATGCACATAAAAACCCATTTAAATTTTGATAAGACTGAAGTAACATATCTGTATAACGTTCAGTATCTTCACGTGTTTTTCGTGGACCAATATAACTCTACATAAATCGCATAGAAAATCAAGGATTATTTTTTATATGAAATTCATTGAGAAAAAAAAATCTAAATCTAATTCGATTTATTACATAAGAATTAACTAATCAATCAAATTTGTTTAGTTATAGCTAAAAGTAAAGAATTGTTGAGTATCTTATTATTGATGACTAAAAGAAAGTAAACATGTTAATAATTCGTGCTTTTAGCACTAATCAGTTTCTATTAAGCATAAACATTCACTTCATATAGATGAGATTGTTTTTATCAGTAGTGATAATTTAATAATGACAAACTAGATTATGTAGTTTTATGATCAAGAAGAAAAACATTTAAAATAAATGCCGAAAAATGACTACGTTAGTCGTATGAATGCTGCATATGTAAATTATCATATTTCGTTCATTTTCGATAAAATATATATCTCATCTATCGAAATCGTTTTGTCTACTAATGGCAAAAAACTATCATAGGAAGTCTGGAGATGATTCAGTCCTTTCCAGAAGTTATTTATACTCTCTGATAAATATAAAAGTTTTTCTTACATAATAATTTCGAAATAATAATTCATATTGTTTTCTAAAATTTCTATTAATCTTCATAATAAATATTTGTTCGTCGGAATTATCTTGTAAACCTCTTGTACCAATTGTTTGATTTTCTTCACGATGTAAATTCATAATTATTTCTTTTATATTTACATCAGTTTTACCATGTGGTGAACGACCATGAATATAATATCCGTGATAATATTGATCAAGAATAAATACACTTATATTTGATACCGAACATAAATCAATAAAATTAATTATTTTATCTGCAATTATACGTTGATAAAATAATGTAAAAGCAAGATATTGAATAATCGCTAAAATATAATTCATAATAAATATTATTAAAAACAATGAAATCAATACATACAAGTGCCTGATAATGTAATAAATCCTATTCCAGTACGAAAAATTGGATTGTATTCTGTGCAATTTGTTGGAGATGTAGATAGAGTAAATTCATTATTAACACAGGAGAGACTTTCAAGATTGACTACCTACATGAGAGATACTTGTATAGAAAATTAAGAAAAGAAAAATGAAAAGTTTACTTTAAGAAAAAATAAAACAAAAAATAATTTTAATGTTACATTAATACGACGATAAGTTTGAATTTCATTAAATTCATTGGCTACAAAATTTGTTCGCCAAACTGAAATCTTATGATAATCTATTTTAAAACAAAATGACTATATATTATTTTAAATTTCATCTATTTCTTAACCTATTTTTGTTCGTTCCCAATCCATAAAAAATATTTCTATTCGTGTTTGTCGTACAATTAAATGAATAATATCAATTGTTTTTAATACAAATGAAATAATAAGAAAAAATTTTAGTAAATTTTCAAATGAACTAATATCTCCATAAGAACTATTTTCATATTGTTTCTATAGAAAAATAAATATATTAGTTATTTCTCGATAAATAAAATTAATTTTCTACTTTAATAATCAATAACCACCAAACTGAAGCACCAGCTGTAACAAGTAAAATAACTGTACCAATAATACCAATTAAATGAAAGGTAAATATTCCAATTGTCTATTAAAATCGATCAAACATTAATTAAATAAAATAATTTCTTAATTTCTTACTCCTAAATCGATTATTTCTTTACCAGATCTTAAAAACCATTTCCATGTTCTAATCAAAGCAATAATAAAACCTAAACCTGATAAAACTCCCACCGCAACATAAACATTAAGAGTTTGACTAGCAATATCCATAAGGATTATGTTTAAATATATATCTGCAAATCTAATTAAAAAGAAAAGAAAAATACACGTGCACTGAAAAATCTATATGCATAGTTGACGAGGGAAATACTAAATATACATAATCGATAAGAACTGTTACTAACTAACATTCTGTTCACTCTCTCTCTCTCTCTTCAATCAACTTCATGATAGTAGTGATAGCAACTACAATGTCTAATATCTTTTTTTTTTTATAGAGTAATAAACATTTCAGGTTGTTAAAATCTTTTTTTTTTGAGTGTGTATGTATACATGAGCGAATAGAAAGGAGGAAATGTATGCAACGGCGCTATGAAGAAGTGGTAAATATTTTATCATTACATTTAACAATTAAGTATGCACGTGAATGATATTGAAAGAGAATGAGAAAAAAAAGTTGAACAAAAGAAAAAGGAAAAAATGTCGAAGAATTTTGTAGGATATTTTATAATTGACTTTGATAATTGACAAAATTTGTATGTATATGTAAAATAGTTTGAGGAGAAAAAAAAAGTCGTCTTTCTGACATATGAAATATGAATGATTAATCGGAAATGGATAGAGAAAAAAATAATATTTACTTGACTACAACACAATGCACATATAAGGTCGAAGAGTATAAGGATTGCATAATTTGTTGATAAAAAAATCAATTTTTAAATAATCAGAAAATCATTATTTTATATAAAGATTATGAAATCAGAACAAAAGGCTTGCAATGTAGATGTTTTGGTAGTAATTTAGAATAAAAGGTCTTGTTGTTTAATTTCAGCTGAACTATTTTTGATTAAAAGATTGCTCAATTGTTACACGAAGTTATCATGCATAACAAATGCATTCACTAAGAATGCATTTAATACAAATACAATAGAGTAGAAAGAAGAATATTGTACATATATTTAGATTAGAAAAAGATCGATATATCGAATAATTACTGATGAACGTTTTATCATACTACAATCGATAGTTGAATTAGGATAGAACAGAAACAAATAAAATGCTTTAATAACAATCCTATGCCAACAAAAACAGTTTATTCTAAAAATTTAGAATGAGTCATATGTCGAACACTATAATTAAATTGTTCATGTCTTCGAAAACCAGCTGTTTACATAAATTATATTATAGTGATGAAAATCTATTTTGATATTCTTTCTTATTCAATTCAATGAAATGAAGAAGAACAGGATATCTGCATGATCTCATACACCTTCCTGTTTGTATTCTTCAATGAAATTCAAAAGCAACAATAATCGTACCGACTATATCATAAAATCCGTCCATTCCCTAAATAATATATCTCTGACTCAGATCTACTACTAAGGACATATATTAAATAGATTTATTTCTACATAAATTCTACAACAAACAAGATTATTTTATTTTAAAATTGTGACTATAAACATAAAAAAAACTGTTAGGAAATAAAAACAAATAGTTCGTATATTCTTGTTTAATTATTTAAACAAGAAAATTTTTTGGAATTAATGTTTTCTTTGATAAATTTCGTTGTCCTAGTGATACACGTAATTTGCCAGCAATCTATTAAAAAAAGTATATTTTTTTTATAGATTAGAATAATTCTTACTAAATTAAGAAAATAAGTAATAATTGCTGCTAAAACATAATTCATTGCAAAATAATCAATAAAAAGAAATGTTGCTGTATTCCAAATAAATAATGAATTTTCATAACCAGCAAATAATGTTTTAGTAAAATTTCTATCTAAATCTATAAGAGAAAAAATAGTAAATAATAATTATCTTATTCATGTTTTGTTTTTATACATACCAATATAGAATATACTTTCTGTTTGTTCTTGTGATATTGGCGTATTTCGAAAACGTAATTCACAATTGAGAATTTTTTCTAAGAAAACACGTGGACGTACACTATAACTATATGTTGGTAATGATTGATTAATAAAAGCACATAAAAATTCATTTAAATTTCGATATGACGCTAATAGAATTTCGCATTCATGTTCATCACCTTTTTTTGTTAAACGTGTAAGAATTCGATTCTAAAAAAAAACAAATTAAACTCATATTTATTTAACCTATATATTTTTACTTGATAATTTTTAAGTAATAATTCATATTGTGATCGAAATGCTTTATCAACTCGAATAATAAATGTTTGATCATCCGAATTTGGTTGTAAACCTCGCGTACCAATCTTTTGATTTGATTCACGTTCTAAATTAGTCATCATTTCTTTCATATTAACATCGGCTGTTCCATGTGGCGATCGACCATGCATATAATATCCATAGAGATTATCCATAAGAATAAATACACTTATATTTGATACTGAACATAAATCAAGAAAATTAATTATTTTATCTTGAACAAAACGTTGGTAGAATAAAATATAAATTAAATATTGAATAAGAGCTAGAAAGAAGGAGTTTTTTTTGAATTAATATAAATATTCAAGATTGTATTTACCAACACCAAGCCACATAGAAAAAGCAATACCGACACGTAGAATACCATTATAAGCTGGCACATAATCCGTTGAAGATGGAAAAAGATTTACTCCTGGTTGAATTGTAGCAACATTCTCTAAGTTAATTACCTATAGAAAATCATTTTTATTAATGAAATAAATAAAATATTTTGATTTACTTTTAATAAAAGTAAAACAAAGATAATTTGAAATGTAACATTAATACGACGAAATGTTTGAATTTCACTATATTCATTTGCTACAAAATATGATCGCCAAACTGAAATTGTATTTGGATTTCCTAGAAAAAAAAAATATTTAAATTTATGAAAAATTTGTTTAATCTAACCTGATTTTGATTTTTCCCAATCAATAAAGAAAATATCAATATTTGATTGACGAATAATTAAATGAAGAATATCTAATGTTTTAAGAACAAATGCAACAACAACAAGTACAGTAAATGAAGTTTGTTGAATAGTTGTTGGTATAACTAAATAGATTGCATCTTGTCTCTAGAAGAGATTATAAAATTTTTCTTATAGGTAAAAATGAACAGTTTTTTTATTTTACTTTAAAAAATATTAACCACCAAAGTGATACACCCGCCATAACAATAAAAAAAATTGTACCAATTGAATTAATTAAATATAGGAAAAATTTACCAATTGTCTTTAAAAATTTTAATAAATATGTAAAATATTAATTTGAGAAAAATTAGAATTATCTTACTCCTAAATCAATCATTATCTTTCCAGCTCTTGAATACCAAACTCTTGTTTCTATCAATGACAATATGAAACCCAAACCACATAAAACACCAATTGCTATCCATATACTACTGATATGTGTATCAAGATTCATACGATATTGAGTTTCAAATGTAATCTATTTGAATAAAACATATATATATATAGGAAGTATTATGGGACCCGCATATATTTTTCAAAAGAAAAGAGTGAGTGTAAGTTATAAGTCGAGTTTTTACGACACTCCTCCCTTATGGCAGACCTTAGCGATTAGCGCCAAAAATTATTGAATACAAAACAAGGCAATCACGTATTCCAATGGCTGGAAATAGCTAAGTATGATCAAGAATAATCTGAAATGAGGATGTGGGTGATAGGTTAATATATCATCCTTCTTTCAGAAAAAATCGTGACCATAAATTTTGAATTCAAGTTTGCTAGCTAGTACATCATTCAAAGGCTCTTATATATTATTGCAGAATAAATTCTCTATAGCACCAATGAAGGCGTTTTAATCTTACCTCTACAAGACTTCCTTTTCCTGTATCGGATATAGCTAATTCACCGTATTCAATAATAATTAATGGTGGTTGAATGTTAGCAGCACTATTTGTTAATGTATTCACGATTTTAATTGATTTAGCATAATGAATATTATTTAATTCTAGAAATAATAATAATGAAATTGAAAGAAAAAGTGAGAAATATTTTAAGGATAATATACCACCAGTACTATCTAGAATACCAGAAATACGATCAATTAGAAAAAAACGTCGATGATAAACCCATTGTGATTCATCATCTAAATAATGTACATAAAGAAAAATAAAAAATATATATGTAAATGTGAATAAATACCATTTTGATTAGGACTTGAACTATCATTTGCTTTATAATTTTTGATAACAACTGGTGTTGGTAACATATAATCAGTACCAGATTGAGTAAATAAAATGTCTAAGATTAAATATTAATAAATTTGTAGATACACATTATGTGAAAGGAAAACTTACATGGATCATAAAAAGCAGTATCATATAATGTTGAAGACCATAATGCATCAACACGAATATTACACTAAAAAAGTTGTTTTCAATTTTATTTCGAAATTTTTTTATTAAATTAAGGAACACTATTCTAACAAAGATTCCTATAGCAGCATTCATAATCAAGCACAATCACCAATTGATATGATCAAAATTAGAGATATATCAGCTAAAAATCATTGTTTAGCAATTTAAAATAAAAAATGCGGACTTTCTGTAATACGTGATCATCGTAACAAGATCTAAAGCTAAGACTTAACCCATGCGAAATAAGCAAAAAGCAGCTGAACTCTAAACACAAACCTTCCTTTCATAATTTCTTATCTATCATATTTTCATCTATTCGCCAAATAAAGGACAAAAACGATTCTAAATATTAATCTTTCATTACTTACTGCTTTTTTATATTGCGTTCCAAATGTAAACGCTGGTCTACCATCGGTATAACTACTACCACATAATTGTAGATATGCATCAAATGCATCAAAAAGTCCAATATATTTTCCTGTTGGAGAATATTTTGCTAATTTATATCTTATTAAATTATTTTGAGTAGATGATGCTACTGGTATCCAGTTATATGATGCACTATTTATTTCTTGATAATATGTTGATGGATAAGCAAGAAATGGTATTGATGTTCTATATGAAATCAAATCTTTAATTTTAGTTTAAATTAATTTTTTTGAATTATTAACCTTATCTCTGAAGCTGACCATACCGATGAAGATGTTGGCGTCCATATATAATTCTGATATAGATTATAAGCATAATTATTTACCGGATAATAAAATTGCATAGCAACGATATTCGCTAAAACTTGACAAGCTGTTGCATTCGATAAAAGAGTTCGATTTGTTGTTTGAGCTGCAGTGTTATTATTTAAATTCATCTTTAAATAATAGACGAAAATTTTAAAAGCAAAGAAAATATTTTAATTTACTAGACAAAGATATAAAGATGCATCAAGATGTTGTTTAAAAAATGATGAAACTGTTGGACTCTAGATTATTTATAAAGAAGATTTATATATGAGAAAAACATGTACAAAACTCACGTTAAATCGGTTATTATAAATAGGTGATATAGCAATATTCAATGTATTGATTATATAAGTTAAGCACATACCATCCTTAATGAAAAATAAAGTGATGTTATACTATATATTTGCTAAAAGAATAGTTTACTTTAATATCACTAAGAGCACAACAACTGATGCTTGTTGGTGCTGACCCGATATGAGGAGTAACTATAGCACATGGAGTACATCTAAAAAAACTCAAGATAAAAGAATTTTATAAAAAAAGATTATTTTCAACCGTTGATTATCTGGATCAGACCAAGCACCAGCTACACAAGTTTGACATGTCTCACCAGTATAGCGTGGACTAGTTGATGTGGAATTAGATGAATATACACTACCATCAAGATTTGATTCCGCTAAAAGATAATATACTATTTATTTTACTCAAGGAAAAAATCTATTAATCACAAGGAACTACGGTCGAAGTTGAGGTAGCACAACTACTACTATAAAGAGTACATCCAAATCCATCAGTTGATCGTCGCTAAAAATCAATATATATTTATATATGATAAGAAAATAAAATTTCTGTATGCATACAAATCCAGAAGCACATTTTGAACAAAGTAATGAACCACCACCTTGATTTACAGCATAATAATATGAAGTATCGATACATTCACATTGTGTGTTGTCTAAATGAAAATGATATAATTAAAGATTTTATTTTCTTTATTGTTCATATATCAATAAACAGAATTCTCGCGATACCCTTTCTAAATCAACGATTCAATATTTCATATTTTTGTAAAATATTTGAAAAAATACGATTACTTAATTAGTAACTACGAACGAATGTAAAACAAAACAGAAATTTCAATCGAATTTTTGTTACCAGTCGATTTTTGTACTGCATTATCTGGACAATTTGAGCATTGTAATAACGCAATATCATAATATTGACTTGATAAACATGTTGTAACGTATGGAACACTTATTTGATAAGCATTATAAGTATTAGAAGTACTTTGTGTAAAAACAATATTCGATGGAAGAATTAGTAGAAATAGAAATAGAATAGATTTAACTATAATCATCCTTCTAGTTTCGAAAAGAAAAATTGGATTAATAATTGATCATGAAGAGTTTATCATTCTTAATCGTTGCTTAGAAATAACCATTATAAATATTTTTAAATAAATCTGATTGGTTAAAAAATATCTCTAATCACGAAAGAAAGAAAGAACAACGTTACGTTTGTCGTTCATTTATTATTTAATCTGATCATTTATATCAAATAAATGGACGCTCTTATTCCTATCCTTAATAAACTTCAAGATGTATTTAATACTGTCGGTTCAGAAAATATTCAATTACCACAAATTGTTGTTGTTGGTTCACAAGTTTGTTTCTTACATATTGTTTTTTAACATTTCATCATACATTTTAATTTTTACAGAGTGCTGGTAAAAGTTCTGTTATAGAAAATATTGTTGGACGAGATTTTCTTCCACGTGGTACTGGAATTGTTACACGACGTCCATTAACTCTTCAACTTATTTATACACCTGTCGAAGATAAAGAAATTCAATGTCAAAATTTAGGATGTAATTTATAATTTAAATAAAAACAAAAAAGTTTTCATTTGTTTTCAAAATAGGTCCGGTACCGAATGAAGATGAATTTGCTGTATTTACACATATTAAAGATAAAGTTTATACAAATTTTAATGAAATTCGATGTGAAATTGAAGCTGAAACTGATCGACTTGGTGGAAAAAAGGTCTCTATTTTCTTTTCAAATTCCTTTATAAAATATTCTCTATTTATTCTAGAATATTTCAAAAGAACCAATAACATTAAAAATTTATTCACCAAATGTTGTTACATTAACATTAATTGATTTACCCGGTTTAACTAAAGTATAAATAAAATTAAACTAATTTTAATATATTAATTAATTACAGATACCTGTTGAAGATCAACCAGTTGATATTGAACAACAAGTACGAAATCTTTATTTGTATTATATTTCGAATCCAAATGCAATCATTCTTGCTATTACACCAGCGAATATCGATTTTTCAACATCAGAAGCAGTTAAATTTGCAAAAGAAGTCGATCCAGAAGGTTTGTTAATATGTATATATTTATCTTATAACTTCAGTTTTCATCAAATCGATATTCTTTGGCTTAAGATCGATTCCTTAGTATAATTCTTCTTAATTCATATCGAAAGTCTAGTTCTGCTTGAAAAGAATAAATTTGATTTTTAGGAAGAAGAACATTAGCTGTTTTAACAAAACTCGATTTAATGGATCGTGGAACTGATGCATATGATGTTTTATGTGGACGAGTTATTCCAGTTAAATTAGGCATTATTGGTGTTGTTAATCGAAGCCAAGAAGATATACATAAGAAAAAAGTTTGTTATTCTTATTAATCTCAAAATATAAGAAAATTATTGTTTTAGCCAATTGAGGAAGCACTTCGTTATGAATCTGCTTTTCTTCAAAAAACTTATCCATCAATTGCTAATCGTAATGGAACACCATTTCTTGCTAAAACATTGAACAGAGTATATTTATAGATTTCTTATAAAGTCAAAAAAACTAATTTTTATATTTAATAGTTACTTATGTATCATATTCGTGATTGTTTACCATCATTAAAAACTCGTATTAATCAAATGGTATCGCATTTTCAAACACTCGTTAATTCTTTCGGTGAACCAATTGAAGATAAAGTATATATATAATGTTTTTAAAAATGAAATTTTAACAAAAAATATTTATTATAAGGGTCGACTTCTTCTTCAAATTATAACAAAATTTGCTTCAAATTATTGTGCAACTATTGAAGGCACAGCAAAAAATATTGAAGTTTCAGAATTGTTTGTATTCATATATATATATATTCATATAAACTATTTTTATGTAATTCTTTCGTAGATGTGGTGGCGCTAGAATTTGTTACATATTTCATGAAACATTTGCACGTGCACTTGAATCGATTCATCCACTAGATAATTTAACAACATTTGATATTCTTACAGCAATACGAAATGCTAATGTATTATTTTACGGAATTCTTATTTTATTAATATTAATGTTATTTTTTTGTTATTTAGGGTTCAAGACCTGCTTTATTTGTTCCAGAAATATCATTTGAATTACTTGTTAAACGTCAAATAAAACGCTTAGAAGATCCAAGTTTACGTTGCGTAGAATTAGTACATGAAGAATTACAAAGAATTATTCAACATTGTGGCGCTCAAGTAAAGATTATTTTATCTTTAATAAATATCTATAGACTTTGTCGTTCTTCTTTTTTTGTAGCAAGAATTTATACGTTTTCCACGTTTACATGAAAAAATTGTTGATGTTGTAACACAATTATTACGTCGGCGATTACCGGAAACAAATCGTATGGTAGAAAATCTCGTTGGAATTGAATTAGCATATATTAATACAAAACATCCAGATTTTCATGAAGCTGGACTTATTCATAAAGCTTTGACCAGTGGAGATTATTTAATGAATACACCAAAACATGATAATCGAGTTAGTTTTATTAAATCTTAAATCAGAAAAATTTGATTAGAATATTTTTTGCTAGATGAATGATGAATCGACATTAGGACGATCAAGTTCCATGAATCAAGTATTAACTCAACATAATGGACTATTAGTTAATGGTATACAATCCTCAATACATACATCGAATAGTACTGTTACTTCTCCAATCATGGCACCACTTGGTGATGGAGTGAGTATTTTTGAGTTTTGTCGTTATCCACACCCACATGTTTGTCTGATGATATACTTCTTATTAACCCTCGAACGGTATTCTCATTTTACTACATAATGAGAACTTAAAATTTTATTTGTTTTAAGCTGGGTGTGGACGAATCGAAATTTGCATCATAATTTTCATCAGACATAAATACGATGTTATGAGTCCTGATAAATAAAAACGTTCCTGATTAAAGGTTTTGAGAGTCAAAAAAAGCGTTGTGGGTCTTACAAGACTCACAAAAACCGTTTGAGTGTTAACACACTTGATGCTTCAATCTAAAAGTGATAATAATGACATTTTATTTTTCGTTTAGACAACTATCAATACTCGAAAACTTTCACAACGTGAACAACGTGATTGTGAAGTGATTGGTAATTAATTTATTTTTCTAATTCTATTAGTTAAATTGTTTTTTTTTCAGAAAGATTAATTCGTTCGTATTTTTTAATTGTACGAAAAAATATTCAAGATAGTGTACCAAAAGCTGTTATGCATTTTCTGGTTAATTTTATTAAAGATCAACTTCAAAGTGAACTTGTTGCATTATTATATAAGGGAACTGTTAATCAAGATGATGATTTATTAAATGAATCAAGTCATATCGCACAGCGACGTAAAGATGCACAAGAAATGCTTGAAGTAAGTTCTCTTAATATTTGTTGTTCACAAAAAATTTACTTCAAATTTCTTTTAGGCATTACATAAAGCAAATCAAATTATTTCTGAAGTTCGAGAAACTCATCTTTGGTGAAGTTTTAATCATATTTTTGATATTTAACAGTCGTCTATTAGATATTTATTGTACGTGTGTATTAGTGCTTTTTTATATTTAAACCAAATCTGTATTTTTTTATATTACAAACAGACTAATAAACCAGTAAAAAAGCAATGGTTATATGTAATTATCTTAAAATTTCAAAATACGTTTAGAAAACTCAATTAGATATTTTTATCATAATAAGTAGAACAGAAATTATGTATGCTTACAGCTTCAATAGTTTTCAATTAAAATTTCAGTATTGAATGTTACTACAGCATATATTGTGAAGAGATGTGTGAATGAAAAGATTTCTTATGTGATATATTAAATTGAACTGTGAAATCGATTGAATTCTATACATAAGTGTTGGAATCGTCGGGACTAAAAAAACGGAACGGTGTTTTCAGCGAGAAATTTTGAAGTAAGTTATTACTGATTCAGATTTTTGAAGAGCAACTTGGTCACACAAAACTCGCCTATTAAACGATTAATACTACTTGATCACGTAATCTACTTAAAAATTGATTCTTGAAAACAAAAGATTCAATATGTTGTGGAAGATTCGTTATAATAATTGACAAGAAGATACTCATTCACGATATCTTCTGATGATGAATGAGTAAATTCATAGACAGGTAAAAAACTTTTACAAAAAAAGACATGTTTTATATCATTTATATTTACTAAACAATTCCCTTTATTTCATTTGACTTTTAAATTAAATAGAAAGCATGTCTGTTTTCTAAAAAAAACTATACTGCGTATCAGTCAGACAATTACTTTTTTTTAATGTTAAATAATATATTTCAAATAAAGATATAAATATAGTTCATTGAAATAAAATGATGTTCAATATTAATACTTTAATCTACGTTTAGTATATAAGAAAATATTATTAACGCTAGAACGCGTCTTGGTCTGAAGCAATTTTTTATTCTGGTCGTTTTGCAAATGAATCTAGGCTATTCATAATAAGATAAAAATTTACTTCAAATTCTGAACAAATTGACATGATTCAATGGATTGTATGAAGATCAATTTAATTTATGAGTCAGTAATGCCATAGATTTTCCTATCCTTTTGAAGAGCAAAAAAAAAAGTATACAATGTTTATATTTCTTGTAATAACAACAGTATTATAAAATAAAGCAAACATCCGTGTACAAGTAAAACAAACATCACGAAATATTCAGTTCAATGAATATTTTTAATTTAATCAAATTAGTATTAATAAACCTTGAATAAAACTCGAAAAGTTATTTTTCTGTCTACATATTTGCCTTACGTTCATTGCTAATTATAGAATCACCTTTTTGTCTTTCTTTTTAAAACAAACGACAAAAAAATGTTATTTTTTTCCCTCGGTTTCTCTCTTAATTTTCTTCTAGTAGTACTAAACTAATAAATATAAAATTACATTATTACCTTCAAGTCTTATTTCCAAGTTCCATGAAAAGTATATCAAACGATGATTTATTCTTATCCAGATATATCAGTATATGACCAATTGCAACAATTACAAGCTGAATTTAATGAAGTGAAAAATGAAAACAAAATTTTGAAAATATCTGGACGACGTAAATAAGTCAAATAATTTTCTTTGATTTTATTATTTTAATTGTGTTTTATTTTTTATAAAGTTTTACTCGAACGTGCACCACAATTGATTACTATGCGTCCGTATGCAAATACACTACAAGAAACTCTTGATTATATAATTCAAAAACAAGAAAATGAAATTCATCGTTTACATGATGAACTTCAACGTGAAATCTATCGATGTTTTGAACGAATTAATGATTTAGAATTATTATGGAAAGGACAAGTACAACAGTTTTTGAAAAGTTCAGATAAATTATAAATAAAGATGTGAGACTAATATCATAGGTAAATAATTGTATATTCTTTTTTACAATAACAATGATATCGTTCTACTAGAAAATATCTTACAACATAGATAATAGGATTTAGTCATTAGTTATTTAACTCAGATTCTAGCGACGTCTTGTTAAGGTAAATATGAATACTGTTTTCGTATTTCTCACTACGATTTAGTCAGGTAAATCAAAATAGGAAAATAATGAATCACATAAAAATAAATCGTCATATAATCTTCGATTTATACTCGATGATTACGTATCCAAAAAAACACGACTATTACGTTTTGAATATATAAATTTAGCTTGTAATTATTTGATAAAAATGGTAGATTGTAAAAATTGTGGGTACAAATATTTTTTCTCAATCATGATTCATCTCTAGAAGAAAAAAATATGTTATTTCATCATCACATTTTGTTTTTAGTATATATGAGAGTAAAGTAGTAAAAAGTTTAGGCAGGGGAGAGTACTGCCACATTTACAACGCTTTCAAGCAAGAATTCAACTAAATAATAAGGATATGCTGAAAGGCCATATCCACCAAAAAAGACGTAATACTAATGTATTACAGCTTTTTATACATAACTAAAAAAAATATCTTATTTCACTTACAATATTTATGTGTGTCTCGAAAAAATTTTCATAAAAGAACAGACAAATTATTGCGATATGTTCTGTTGCTCGTTGCTCATAATGAAAAAAATATTGCACAACACCTTTTGTTTCAACATAAATAGCCGTTTCCTGCATTGCTATCGGCAGTGGTCCGAAGGCAAGATTCGTACATAATGTTTGTTGAAGATCGAGAGGATCTTTTATGCTGAAACGCCATATCTTCATCCGCCTTTGAGAGAAATACTACACTATCTTGCCGAAATATGACCACTATTTTTTTATAACATATAACAATTTTACAATTAATGATCAAATCTCTAATCGTGATGTATAACACTGATCTTTTTTTTAGAAAATAAATTGTTTATTATTAAATTTAGTGAAGTTGTCTCATATAATGATTAGATGTTCATATATATCATCAGTACAAATTCAAATAAAATATATATTTACAAGCTAATATCAAATGAATATGAATAAAAAAAATATAAAACTATAAGTAAAGTAGTTTGTAATATTTTATATATGATTGCTTTCTAAATACCTCTCGCATTTTTTTTAAAAAAAATCATGTACATTTATCGTTTTTTAACAACGTAGAAAAACAAATTTTTTCATTAAATAGCTTTCTACCTTTATCTCACGTGTCGTACCTTTTTATATTGTTTTCAAATAAAGTAAATTATCTTTTACTATTGTATTATAAAATCAAAATTATGATTACTCTATAATACGAAAATATAAATTCAGTTATGGATAAAATCTGTTTTATATTAAACGTTACAATCAATTCATGATGCTTAATCATAACAATATAATGAACTTTGGTCGTATTTGTCCCTTTAATCTACTCAACAAACCTTGACGCATTTATCATTAAGCATCGATTAATACGATTAAGCTAGAGAGGTGATCAATGATGCATATCAAATGAATACGCACGATGTTTTAGTGTTATTACATACTATAAAAAGACACCCATATTATTTCGTATGCATACATATTTGGATTTTATACTTAACAATAACGACGATTTTTCTCTTCGATACAAATATTCATTCTTGACGTCATATAATAGTTACAAATTATAATGGATAAAAAGAAAGATAGTTCAGCAGATAAAAAGAAGACAACAACAACTACAAAGACTGAAGAAAAAAAAGACGAAAATGTTCTTGCAAAAGCTGCTCATTCAATTCGTGATAAAGTTCATGAAGTAAAAGAAAAAGCTCATAATATGACTCATGGTGGTGACGATGATAAAAAAGACAAAGACAAAAAAGATAAAGATGGTAAGAAACCAGATCCAAAATTAAAAGCATCATCAAAACCACCAAAAACGGGTGGAAAAGATTCCGATGATGATAAAGATGATGATAAATCAAAACCATCTGATGATGAGAAAATAGATGGTAGTGGTGCTGCTCCTCCCGCTGCAAGTAAGTTATTAAGATAAATAATATTTGTTGATAGAGATCTTGTCTGTTAGAACCACCACCTAACGGCGGTAAACCTGCTGGTCTACCAGCAGGTGTTGATTCTACACCAACAGGTGATCCTCTTAAAAAAAAAGATGATGATTCTAAATCATCTGATGATGATGAAAAAAAGGATGGTGATGAAAAAAAAGATGGCGATAAAAAAAAGGATGGCGATAAAAAAAAGGATGGTGATGCTGCTTCTTCCGAAAAAAGCAAGATATTATGATAAATAATATTTGTTAAATAAATATTGTCTTTTAGAACCACCTGCCGGCGGTCCATCTGGTAAAGCTGGTGCTCCACCATCAGGCGGTAAACCAGCTGGTGATGATAAAGAAGGTGGTGGTGCTGCTGCTGCTCCTTCTTCTGGATCAAGTAAGACATTTTTTTTTCGTTAATCTCTATCAATATATCTCTGTTATAGAACCACCTGGCTCTGATCCAGCTGATAAAAAAAATGAACCACCGTCAGGTGGTGATTCGAAACCCCCCGGTGATAAAAAACCAGCTGCTGGTGATGCAGCTCCTCCTGCTGATCAAAAACCAGCTGCTGGCGGTGCAGCTCCTCCTGCTGATCAAAAACCAGCTGCTGGTAGTGCAGCTCCTCCTGCTGATCAAAAACCAGCTGCTGGTGGTGCAGCTCCTCCTCCATCTAGTATGATATTTGTATAATTCATTCATTTCAAACAATATCTCATTTAGAACCAGCTGCTGGTGGCGACGATGATAGTGAAAAACCTGCAGCACCACCATCAAATAATGCTCCAGCTGGTGCAGATACGACCAATAAACCAGCAACTGAAGAAAATCCCAATGACCAAGTTCATGTTTCGTTCGATGGTTCGATAAATTTATAATTTATATTAATATCATTAGTTTTTGTCATTTTATCATATCTTAGGTGTAGAAACTGTTGATGATCTACTCGAACGAATAGATGATGCTGTTGAAAGGGCGAAAATTGTTGTAAATAATGGCAAAGATCAAAATGCTGCTGATAAAACTGAAGGACAAAATCCTTCATCGCCTGATGCTGAAAAAAAACCTGATGGAGATGAACCAATTCGTATTGTCTATGGAGATGTTCATAGAATAGAAGATCTTCTTGAAGCAATCAATAATCAACCAGGTACTCGAAAAATCATCTTGGAAGGTGCACCTGACCAATCAAATAATGTTAGTGTGAAAAAAAACAGTAATGCATCACCACCTGCCGCAGCTTCTCCGCCAGCTAATAATGCAGACAAAGATGCATCAACTACAGTCAAAAAAACTGAAACACCAGATAAAACAGAAAAAGTAGAAAAAACTGAAACTCCCGATTCAAAAACAACTGCAAAGACCACTGAAAAACCATCATCAGCAAAAACAGAAGAAAAAACTGAAACTCCAACAGCTACAAAAACAGCTGAAACAAAAGAAACACCATCAGAAACAAAAAAAGTGGAAAAAACTGAAACACCAGATAAAACAGAAAAAGTCGAAAAAACTGAAACTCCCAATTCAAAAACAACCGAAAAGACCACCGAAAAATCATCATCAGAAAAACCAGAAGAAAAAGATGATGCTCCACCATCTTCATCAGCAACAAAAGTAGAAAAAACTGAAACTCCAAATGCAACAACAACAGCAAAAACAACAGAAACACCATCAGCAACAACAAAAGTAGAAAAAACTGATACTCCAAATGCAACAACAACAACTGCAAAAACTACGGGAAATGCACCACCACCAAATGATAAATCTTCACCACAAGGCGATCAAATCCATGTTAATATTGAAAATGTTCAAAGTGTTGATGAACTTTTAGATCGTGTTGATGAAGCAGTTCAAAAAGTTCCAGTTGTCATTGATTTCTCACCTCAGGCAAATAAAAAACAAGGTTTGTTTTTAATATGATTAAATATATTTAAATAACGTTGTTGTTTTTAATATTTCTATAGATGCATCAAAACCCAATAAAGATAATACAACTGAAGTAGAAGTTGTAAAACCCGAAGATGGAAATGCAAGATCTGGTAGTATAGCAGCTTCAATGAAATTTCAAAAACGAAATCCAGAAACCAAAGAAGATAACGAGGACAAAACTGCAACATTTTAAAAAATAATGACTTTTTTAATTGTGTAATGTTTAAATCTTTTTTTTTATTTACGTTCATAGTTTTTTTAATTCTGTTTGCTGTCAATAAAACAATCCAGCTTTAATTACATTTCTTCTTGTTATTATTAATATGAATATATGAGAGTTATTTTTTGTATATCAAATAATATAGAGTATTTTATTTCTTATGAGAATCAAAAGCGTTGAGTAGTTTATTAAATATCGATCGATTGATATGCTATTTTATAAAGTGTAATAGCGACATCTTTTTCGATAACGACCATTTCTCTACTTACCTACCTACCAAACATAGATTGTATTCAACACCAATAAATAAACGAAAGATTCTTAATCTATTTTTTGACATTGAAAATTTGAACACAAAAATAAGAACTTTCATAAAAACAAAGTATCCACTTATTTATAAGAAATGTTTTATTATGAATCAGATTTTCAAGTTAATTTTATCGTTTTAGGAAAGCCATAATATTTGCTTAGTATTATTGAATTTCGTATAAGAATTATATTTCTAGATAAATCAATATGTCGAAACGTTTTTTTGAAGGTGCTCAACATGCAGCTCGTTATGCAGTAACTCGACCAACCTATCCACCAGAATTGATGACTAAAATCATTAATTTTCTTTCTATGAAGGTATTATTTTTATTAATAAATATTTTACAAAGTCTTATTTATTTTTTTTAGTATAAAAATGTACTTGATTATGCAGCTGATATTGGTTGTGGTAGTGGACAAAGTACAGAACTTTTATCACCCTATTTTCAGAAAGTTTATGGTAAATATAGTATTTATTTTAGTAAGATTTTTTGAAGAAACGAAATTTATTTTAGGTTATGATGTAAGTGAAAATCAATTAAAAGAAGCAAAAAAGAAAAATAAACTATCAAATATTGAATACAAGTAAAATGAAAAAAATGAATTTGATTATTATTTATTAAATAATTTTAATTTTAATTTTAGAGTTAGTTCAAATAATGCAATACCACATGAAAACAAATCACTTTGTTTAATTACAGCTGCACAGGTCGATTTTCAATTGTATTATATGATAATATCTAATTATTATCGTATGTTTATAGGCAGCACATTGGTTTGATTTGAAAGAATTTTATTCTGAAGTACATCGAACACTTAAACCTATGGGTGTATTAGCTGTATATGGTTATGCATTTCCTCAAATTGTTGGTAAAGATTATTCACAAGTCAATGAAACTTTTCAAAATGTATATTACATAATTAATTAAATCTAATCCATTACAATAATCTATTTATTTAGTTTTATCAAAAAGTAAGACCTTATTTTCCACCAGATCGTATTCATATTGATAATAAATATGCTAACATTATTTTACCTTATGAAGAAAAAATTCGGTAAATAAATTTAAAAGAAAAATTCAATCTATGAATATATATTTAATAGAGATGAAAGTGTTCGAATACACTATGATTGGAATCTTGATCGTCTTTTAGCTTATGTAACATCATGGTCAGGATATATACGTTATATGGAAAAATATCCAAATAAAGATATTCTTAGTGATTTACGTCAAGAGTAAGATAAAGAATTTTTAACAAGATATTTATCATGATTTTCTTAATATTTAGTTTGTTAAAAATGATGAAAACTAAAGATGAAAATAATATATTAAAAATGGAGTTTCCAACATTTATATTACTTGGTCGAAAGACCACTGAATAAATTATTTTAAAATGGATATTTAAGTTTCTATAATCTTCTTTTCTTTTTCAGATAAAAATATGCTTACTTATGAAAATATAACTATTGGTCAACGTGTTGAAGTATTACAAAATAATCAAATCGTGTATGGAACAGTTCTTTATAAAGGTCCAATTATGGGTCGACCTGGAGTCTGGCTTGGTATTGATTTAGCTACTCCACATGGTGATAACGATGGAAGTTTGAAAGGACGTGTTTATTTTCGAGCTCCACTTAATTTTGGAATTTTTACTACAATTGAAAATGTACGTTTAGCATCAAATCTTAGACGAAGGTAAATAAAAAAATTCATTCGAATTATAATTTATTTTTTCTAGACCAAGATCAGCTTATCGAACTGTGAATAAAAAAAGTATTGTTGAAGAAGAATTATTTGGCAATACAGGTAAAACAACACTATAAAACTTATTTATATTCATACGTCTACTTTCTAGATCCACTTACATTACCTGTTCCATCGAGTAATGCCACTATTTCTAATTCCAAAGTAACATCATCATTAAAAAATCCACATGAACGTCCAAAAACAGTTGGTATTTTTGAAAATGAAAAACGATATTCACGTCCACAAACATTAATTAATCGATATGATAGAATAAAAAATCTTCGTAATAGTGAAAG